ATAGAACAGCTTAACGCCAACAGGTGCTCATCAGCTGTAATGAACATTAAACACCTAGTTCTTTGCTAACATTAGATCCTAATAGCATATTTTGTTTTGCTCACCCTTGAAATAAAGGACATAGGTTATTGTGAAGAAATGGCTGGAAGAACAAACAAGCTCTCCCAGGTCCCCACCTCCCTCCCAGATCACAATGACCCAGAAACACAGGGAAGTGAGTGCACAGGCCTCCCAGACCCGAAAGGGGGCAGTTGTAGGGAGTCACTCATGGGTGGCAGCTGCCCCAAGGGATGAGCTGCATGGAAACCTGGTGGATTAAAAGGCAGAACAGCAACAAAAAAGAATGGTGTGGAATGTGTATAAGTATCCTATGTAATAAAAGCCTAATATGCAAATTGTCCCCTCGGGCAGTTGTTTGGCCAGGAGTTTGACCGCTCGCTATGACGTGCACTGACCACCAGGGGGTGGTGTGGAACATGGTGGGCGTCGACAACATGGCTCTAGCAGTGGGCGGCAGTGGAGGCACTGCTGGCCCCGATGGGCCCCGACGAGAGTGGGACCATGGCGGGATGGTGGAGCAGGTGAGCGGGCAGTGCCAGGTCAAGGCAGGTGTGAGCAGGGTCCCAATCACCTCACTGATCACCCCGCAGATGGTGACCAGTGGCAGCAGTGGGGGGTGGGGCAACCACAGGCTCCCAGGCACTGAGGGAGCCATGCAGGAGCCCGGCCCCGATAGATTGCCCTGCAGGTGGAATGGTGGAGCAGGTGAGGGGGTGGCACCAGGCCAAGGCAGGGTATCGGGGGGGGGAGGGTTGCAGGGCTGCGAGGCTGGGGGCGCGAGCTGGGGCCCAATCCCTGTAGGCCATCCCGAGGGACCCCACCCATGCACAAATTAATGCATTGGGCCTCTAATGTAATATATGAGTCTTAAATTTTATGAAAATGTCTTGGGTCCTCAAATCTTTTTTCCTCCACTGGCATGGTTACTGGTCAGTAGAAATAAGTGAGATTCTGGTGCCTTGCCTCACTTTCTCTTTCCCTCTACTTATCTCTGCAATAACTGTTTTTAGAATGGGTGTGGGCAGTGCCATCCCTTAAAGGCACTGTGACTAAATCAGGATTGTTAACAATCATGATGCCCTTTGCTCCAGCCAAACCTCTCTATTTTTGCTTGCCAAGAAGAGGTAAGACCATCCAGAGTAGGAAAGAAAGAGCAATTGTCAGCAAAAAGCTAATGTAACTCCATTTTACTGGCTCAAGTCAATGACTGTTACATCAGTAAAATGGAAATCATTGTTCTGAACTAGAGTAATGGGTTTTTCAATGAAGAGGTGCCTTTAGGTAAGCTAGTCAAGTGGTCTCCAAACTCATTAGTCAACAGAGCCAAATATCAACAGTACTTCTTCAAAATAGACTTGCCCAGGCCGAAAACCGATTTCTGTGCATGGGCCACAAAGTTTCAATCGCACTGTATGTGCACACCCGCATGTGTATTTTGTGGAAGAGCCACACTCAAGGGGCCAAAGAGCTGCATGTGGCTCGTGAGCCGCAGTTTGCCGACCATGGAGCTAGTCCAATGTCATCATCCTATATAATAAAAGACTAATATGCAAATCGACCGAACGGCAGAACGACCAGTTGCTATGGTGCACACTGACCACCAGGGGGCAGATGCTCAGCACACGAGCTGCCCCCTGGTGGTCAGTGTGCTCCCACAGGGGGAGTGCCATGCAGTCAGAAGCCAGGCTCACAGCTGGCGAGCGCAGCGGCAGTGGTGGGAGCCTCTACCGCCTCTGCGGCAGCACTAAGGATGTCTGGCTGCCGGCTTGGGCCTGCTTCCCAGGCCTAAGCCATCAGTTGGACATCTCCTAAGGGCTCCCGGACTGCGAGAGGGTGCAGGCCGGGCTGAGGGCACCCCCAAAGTGCACAAATTTCATGCACCGGGCCTCTAATTTTATAGATAAGCAAAGGAATACCAGAGAAACCTTCCCAAGCACACATGACTGGTTAATGGCAAAGCCAGGACCAGAATTCAAGTCAGCTTTTCATGAGAGATTTAGAAAATATTCAGATAAACAGACTGCTAGGGACCATAATGCATGAACTCACAACACATGTGAAGAAACTAGAGCTTTTTAACCCAGAAAGGGGATGATTCAGGGACATAGTAACTAGTTTCAAATACATGGAGGACTAGCGAGTAGAAAATGGCTTGACCTTGTTCTGTTGGTCTGAGGAAACAGGAAAGCTCCTGGAGAAGTTAGAAAGACTAGCAGTTCAGAATAAGATAAAACTATTTAAACATTCAAGATTTGCCAAAACAATTTGTTGGGGGAAGAGTAAGCTTTCTGTCACCTGAGGCACTTCAGAAAAGACTGGAAGGTAATGTAGTGTGTGTGTTTTTGGCCACTTAAAGGCGTGGAGTGAGGAGTATGGAGGAGATAATTCAGGCATGAAAATCATTAGGATGGGGTGACCTTTAAGAGTATGTGATTCTTTACAACGTGGGACCAAATAAGGTTTCATTCTTGCCTCCGAACTCTAAAACCTATCTTCCTATCTGTTTGCAATAGTTTAAATTTTAATCTATTTCCTATTTCAGGGTATTATGCCCTGAATATTTGATTTGGATGCTGTGGCAGAAGGTTACTCGTATTCATTTATTTTTCTTTTACTCTTATAGACTTGCAGTGAGTCTTTTGAATTCATTATGCAAACGCATGCAAATCATATGCAAATACAGTGGCCTCAGAAAATGACAAAACCTTAACTGAGCTATCAAACCTTTCTCTAAGAAGGAAAGTAATACACCTCTTCAATGTCTCTGGGGCAGGAGACAATTTCCTGAGAGTGATATTTACATGACATTGGAAGTGGTTACTCAGAAGAGTCTTTTCCTCACATTCTTCTTATTTATGTAGGACTTTAAGGTTAAGAAAGCATTGTCATGTAAACTCTCTTTTGAGTCTCATAATTACCCTGTGATGTCAGCTGAACAGGAGTTGGAATTCCTGTTCTATTTTTCAGGTGGGAAATAGAACAGTAAATGACTTGCCCAAGTTCTCCCAGTTGATAAGCGCTGGCTCTGGGCCTCCTTCTGGTCCAGACTCCTCCCATTACACCACGATGCATGCCTTCCCTAAAGAAAGGCTGTTTGTCATCAGTCTGGGTTTGCTCAGACTGTGTTCTGCCAAAAGCACCTTTTGCTTTCTTAAACTCTGGAGAGTAAAAGCACATTCTCTGCAGTGAGACTGGATCTAAGCCCTAATCCATCGTGTCTAGTTGGGCTTGGAGATGTCATTTCATTTCTCTAAGCACGTTTCTGCATCTATAAAATAGGATACATAAAAACGCCTCTTTGATAGAATATGTGATAAGGAGACACACAAGGGGACAAAACAATACCCCAGCCCAGTGACTAACACATAGTAAGTGCTCAATAAATGGCAGTTACCATAATTATTGTACTAGTGGTAGTAACACAGTACTGGTAGTATTAGTAGTAGCATCTCAAGTCACTGTGACTCTGATGCTAAAATTGGGCTCTCAGAAATATAATGGGAGAACAGTAATGCTAAATATCTCCTACTAGAGGCCCTGTGCATGAAAATTCATGCACTGGAGGGGGGTCCCTCAGCCTGGCCTGTCCCCGGGAGCCCTCAGGGGCAGGAGGCAACCAGGCAACCCGGCGATCAGGGGATGGCGACGCCCCCATCACACCTCTGCTGCCACCACTGCCAACAGCACAAGCCTCTGCCGGCCCTGGTTACCTGAGCCTCGGGTGGCCCTGGGTGGCTGGGTAGCCACCATCTGAGGCTTGCTTGTGCCTTGGGCTGACCCTAGGTGGCTGGGCAGCCAACATCCAAGGCTTGCCTGAGCCTCGGGACGGCCCTGGGTGGCTGAGGGACTGAGGGCGGGTCCGGCTTCACCATGTGCATGCTGCCCCCCCACCCCCCGGCTGGACTGAAAGAACTGGGGGACTCCAGCGGGGCTGAGGGGACTGGGCACTGCCATCTTGTGGCTATGGGTGCCACCATCTTTGTGATGGTGTGACGGTCAATTTGCATAGTCCCTGTTTATTAGATAGGATAGGCCAGAAGATTGGAGAAAAGACAAGGTTTGAAGTAGCTAAATCCAGTCCAGTGAGAAATGCTTGAACTTTCAGTTTCTTTAATCATTACCACATCTTGCACCATAATAGGGGGTTTTGCAATCCTGCTTCAAAGCTATTTCTAAGGTGAAACAGAGCCAAGGCTGACATCCTCAGCTCTGCTCTCTCTTAGCCAGCCCGCTGGGCACACAGCAGTGTCCTCTGCTGGGTCAGGTTGGGAGGGAACATGAGGGGACTCCACTGCCGCTGTGACAGCAGGCCTGAGTCACCAGGTCAGGGATGGGTTTGTCCTCCTCTGTTCGCACCAGAGGTGGGTATTGGCAAGGTGGTCAAACAGCACTACACTCGCTTTCCAGGATGATCTGTCCCTCTTGCTCCAGGTCCCAGCTCCAGCAGCACCACCCCTGAGCTCAGTCCTTCCATCAGGCCTGCAGAGTGCCTTACTCATCCAGCATGCTGCAGCACCTCTCCCAGCCACTCACCTAGGACAACCAACCCAGTGGCCTCTTTCGTGAGGACAGCAGCCTGTGTCCACAGCCTCTCTGGGGAAAAGGGACACTGGAGTTAGCCAAACCCTTGAAGGCAGCCTAAAGTCCATAGAAACCACCCCACTGAGAATCAGCGTGACCAGCTCGAGAGGGCTGCATGAGTGGTTCGCGTTTGCCAGGAAGCACACTGGGCCACAGTGGGGCTGGGTCCTCAGCTATTTTTGGCAAGGGTGGGTGGCATGTAAAGGGACTTCCCTTTTTGCAGCACAGAGCCACCAAATGCTGAGCAGTCAGAGCATTTCTTGTTCGGAGATCACCCTTCTGAGCACCTCTCTGGCTGCTGCTTACCTAGGCCATCACAGCCTGACTGATTTCTCAGCTGCGGTGGCACCGGTCCCATAATGGCGCCCCCTGTCAGCTGCCTCCTGGTGGCCGTGCTGTTTTCTGCCAGCTGTAAAGCCACCGCCTCCTCGGATCAGACGTGCACAGAGGTGAGTCCAAACTTTCTGTCTTTATCCAGATTAAATGGCCTGGAAATTCTGAGATTCAGCCTGTAGTCCCATCTGAGCCTTGGCATCCCAATATCCACTGTTTTGTAAGGGCAATGAGGGGTGTAGATTTTTTTTTATTTGTTATTATTATTATTATTTTTATTGTGAAGAAGGAGCCAAGAGCTCAGCCAGGGGATGATCTCACAGATCCTTAGCAGGAAGAGGTGAGAGTCTTCCTCCTCTGCAAACAATGCCCCCAAAATAACCCTAATTGGGACATAAAATATTGACAGGGACCCAGTGCAAAGAGCAGACTATGAACCTGCTCCCAGCATGGAGGAGCTATTTGTCCAACATCCCAGCACACGGCCACTACTCCAAACAGTCCTTCAGTTTCCTGGCTCTCGGGTGGGGATTAGTAGGGATAATCCGTGCCAGGTTTCAGAGCATATGAGGATCACTCTGGATGAGTCTGGCATTCTCCCCGAGTTGGACTGCCCTCCATCTGCTTTCCTAACCCACCAGAGTGGCATCAGAGAACAGAGCCAAATCGCACCTTCTGTTTTGGACCATCACAGTATTTATCAACCTGTGGGAAATTCTTGGAGGAGGTGGTGAGAGAGAGCAAGAAAGGCCTCAATCTCCTGCCATCTTCTAAAAATGTTTCAGGCTGCCTCACTGCCTCTGACCCCAGCAAGTGCACAGCACCACATGGCCTGTTGGACAAGGGCTGGGGCTAGAAGCAGAAGTGGAGGTAGGAGAAGCAGAAAGGTGGCTTGGAGCCATGGGCAGGAGAATGATAAGGGAGAACAGGGTACATACCTGCCAGGCAAGAGGAAGAATCCAGTCAGGACTGGAACAGAAAGGAACAACCCTGATAGTCTGGTATTAGGATCGAATCAGGATGCACTAAGACTGAGAGGAGGCACAGTGAAGGGGAAATGAAGGCTGGGAAGGTGGATGACTGTTCTGGCTGCCGTAGCATGTAAGTACCATACACTGGGAGGCTTAAACAAAAGAATCTAATTTTCTCACAGTTCTGAAAGCTAATAATCCAAGATCAAGGTGTTGGCAGGATTGATTTCTTCCAAGATCTCTCTCCTTGGCTTGTTGATGGCTGTCTTCTACCTGTGTCTTCACCTAGTCTTCCCTCTGTACATGCCTGTCTCCACATTCATTCTTCTAAAAACAGCGGTCACATTGGATTAGGGCCCACACTAGTGATCTCATCTTAATTTAATTACCTATTTCAAGATTCTATATCCAAATAAAGTCACATTCTGAGCGACCTTGTTGGGATTCAACATACAAATTTGCTTGGGGGAGGGAGGTGCACAATTCATCCTGTAGCAGAAGGGAGTAAGAAGTTTTTATCAGCCCCAGAAGCCTTGCCAGCTGCCTCCTCCTCATTCCGGTTGGAAGGTCAGGTTCACACAGACATGTAGGTAGCATGATAAGAGGATAGGAGTGGGGACACCACCTCCTCGGTGATCAGGGAGGTAGGCCATCCACCTCTGACAACATCCTCACATAGGATAGTATCACCATTACATTCCAGCTCATGGGGGAGCAGATTTGTTTAACCACCACTCTTAAGCCTGCCCATTCAACTCGTAAATCCCCACGTTCCTGCAAAGCCTCACCAGCCCTTCTGAAGCCCACAGGGAGTCCCGGGAGATTTGGGAAGCCCTTGGAAACACTAGACCAGTCTAGCTTCCTGGTGAGGACATCAGGCTGCTAGTTCCTTTCTGCGAATGACCCCTTCCTGGCAGAAGGAAGGGAAAGAGGCAAGGCGAGCACCCTGGTCCCTTTGCTGCCTGCTCCGGGGCCCTCTGAGATAGTCAGGTGGCAAGAGTGATGCTGAGGGTCCCAGGATCTCCAGGCCTGGCCCTGTGCTGCAGCGAGCTTTCCTTTTTGGCCAAGTTTCTATTGAAACCTTCCAATACAATGATCTCTATACAGCCCTCCCTTTGAAATAACTTGGGTTTTAAATGCCCTGGGACCTACCTATACAATTAACATTGGATCTACATTTTCCTGGACCTCCTTATCATGTATGAGTTGTTGGCTGCAGGGTTCAAAGGCTGTGTATTGAGCCCTCACTCTGTGTGAGTACTGGGGAGGTTGTTGGGAGATACAAAGATGGGTGAGAATTGTTGCAGCAGCAAAAGGAGAGCTTGCTGCAGCGTAGGATCAGGCCTGGAGAAGGTGAGGCACTTCTAGGCTGCAGGCATATGGGATAAAGCTGGAATGGTGGGAGAGGAAACTTTGACTTAGGGTTTGGTCCTTCTTCGAGTGCAAATGACCCCGATTAGCCTCTCCCCCCGCCTTGCTTTCCTTTCCTCTTTAATTCTTCCCCTCCAGCGTGAGCATAACTAACCATGCCGTGTACATATGTTCATGTGACCACCATTAGCTCATCAAGCTCTATTTAAAAAACAAGGTTTTGTTTTGAGTTTAGTAAACTTTCTATTGAAGTAAAACATATATGTGGAAAAGTTCACCAGTCCTAAGTGTACAGTTCAGTGAGTTTTCACTAAGTACATACATCGGTGTGACCAGCACACAGAGGAAGAAACAAAACTTCCTCAGCACCTCAGAGCCCCTTCCCACCTCCTCCCAGTCACTAGCCCCCAGGGATGTCCAGTTCTTTAACTTCCATCACCACAGATTGACTTTTAATGGAGTTTTAATTGTTCTCAATTACTTTGGCTATTACGAATGCTGCTGCTTTGGAATTCTTATCTATGTCTTTAGTAAGCAAATATGCAAATCTTTATTAGGTATATTTCAGGGAGTGGATGCATTTCTTCATAGGGTATACACATGTTTAACTTTAGCAGATATTGCCAAACAGTTTCCAAATTGTTGATACACATTTGTATTCATCAGCAATGTCTATGAGTTCTGTTTTTTCCACAGCCTCACTAATATTTGCAAATGTTTGTTTTAAAACCCCATTCTGTTGGATAGATAGTGGTATTTCACTGGAATTTAATTTTTATTTTCCTGACAAATAATTAAATTGATTCCATTTTCATGCTTTTGTTGGTCATTTGCATATCCTTATATGTGTGAAGTACCTTTTCAAGTCTTTTGCCCATATTCATTTGAGTGTCTATTTTTTTTTTATTGAGTTGCAAGAGTTCTTTATGTACTGTGGCTAGAAGTCCTTAATCAGATTGCAAATATCTTCTCCCACTCTGTGGCTTGCCTTTCCACTTTCCTAGTGATCTCTCTCTTTTTGTGTTTATCAGCTTATTATAAAATATACTAGTGGCCTGGTGCACAAAATTTGTGCACATTAAAAGGGAATTGATTAGAGGAACTATTTTAATATTGCTATTTGCCCGTTCTCTATAATAGAAGTGTCAGAGATGAAAGAAAATTAGTAAAATGTATATGAAAATCTCCCTCCTGTCAGAGTCTGGGGCATGCCAAGGGACCCAGAGTCAAGTCCCCGCCCACCTGCATGTGCCTCAAAATTGTGTGAGACCCAGACCCAGCCAGCCCCACCCTCGTGAGCCTCAGGCCCCCCGGCCCAGCGCTTGGTGGGGGGGGTGCGGCCTCAGGTCCCCTGGTCCCAGCGCCAGGGCAGGGGGCATAGCCTCAGGTCCCTGGGCTGGGCCCCAGGTCCCCCGGCCTAGGCGCAAGAGCACAAGGGTGTGATGACCATTTGCATATTAGCTCTTTATTGTATAGGATTATAAATGATACCGATAAAGAGGTATATAGAGCTGGGTCCAGAAGGGTCTGGACAGCAGGATCTTCTGTCCCCATGGAACTGAGGTACACCACCCTCCTGCTGCATGAATGTATTTATCCACCTGGGGGGACTGTGCCCTCTTGGGAATGTTTTGTCTTGTTTGCAGAGAATAATTGTTACTCTGGGATTTGGAAGCTCATCAAACTCTCCTTTTTCAAGAGTTCTTTTTTTTTTAACTGAATATATTGTGGTGACATTGGTTAATAAAACTATACAGGTTTCAGGTTCCTAGTGATGAACAGAAATCCTTAATTTTAACGTAGTTGGATTTATTATTGGTGCTGTTCTTTCAGTGCCTTTCTGTCCTGTTTAAGAAATTTTTGCCTACTCAAGGCCATGAAGATATTATCCTATGATTTTTTTCTAGGAGTTTTATTGTTTTGTATTTACTTCTATTTCTAGGTTTCACATTTAGATCTAAGATCCCTCTGAAATTATTTTTTGCATATGAAGTGAGGGAGGAGTCAAAGTGAATGTTTTAATAAATTTTTTTGTTTGAAAACATTTCAAATTTAGACAAGTTCTAGAAATAATCCAGTGAACACCTATCAACACTCCATGTAGAATCTTCCATTTCTAAATACTATATGTTCTTTCTGTGTGAGAGTGTGTGTGTGTGTGTGTGTGTGTGTGTGTGTGTGTGTAACATAACAAAATTAGACCCATGACCAAGTCTTTGGAGGCTGACAAATATGTGAAGCGTAGCTGGAATTCAGTGTTCTGTGACTTGGATTCTGGTGACATTTTAGGTGTGCTCTTGACTAATGACTTGGGAGTGTAGGCATACCTCCGCATTACAAATGGGCTCATCTCAGCTATTCTGTGCATTCAGAACCATGGTAGGAGGCAGTCCTTCAATCCTAGGTATGAGAAGGAGTGGTGTGTGCTTAGTAGAGCTTCTTTTTAGGAGAACTCCAAGTTCATGGATACAAAAGCTTCCTAATAGCTCTACACAATGGCATGATGCTGTGATGATCCAGTGAAATACTAACTCCTCTTGGGAGTGCCAGATATACATTATTCAATTAATCCTCAGAGATGGCCTGCAAAGAGGGTTATTGTCCTCCATTTACAGTTGGAGGGAAAGGAGGCTCAGAGAACACAGCTTGGACTTGAACCCAGGCAGTCTGACTGCAGACAAAGAGAAAATGAACTGCACACAATGGGAATGCCCTTTGCTCAGAGGACTCAGATTGACAACAACGTTTTAGGATGGTGCCCTCTTGGGAATGTT